CGCCATTAATTTGACGGTGAAGGCGTAATAGGGAATTATGAAGGTGTTGAAATTGGAAATTGGAACGGCACGATACGCAGATGATTAGTGTGCAGACATTCGCGTGATACAGTGGCCTAGCACTCTTTCATCTTACAAAATCTATCAACGTCTCCGAGAAAAGTAAAAAGCAACTAATGTTCTGAAATAGAAATATTTCGAAAGTTTCAAAAATATTAATACATCCATTTCGTTCTAAATATAAACGATAATTGTCATTTAAATGGCACAATTATGTAAATTTTTATGCAAAACACGCAGAACGATGAAAAATTTTAGATTTCTCGAGCTGCTGCATTCCTTCTGTTGTCAAAGGGTTAATTGGCAATTTTTAATTTCAATGATTTTGATTTTTGATCGTTTGAAATTTGGCCTTTTCATAATTTTAGATTTTCATAACTTCAAATTTTCGTAAATTTACATTTTCATAATTTTAGATTTTTCAAATTTTTACTATTTACCGATTGACCTCTTCACTGAGGATTTTTACCATTAAAAAAGTGAACCGAATGAAATTTGAATTTTTAGAAATTACGAATTATGAATCGAATTTAATTTTGTAAATATAAGTTAAGATTAGACATCGTTTGCTCTCGTGTCCTATACTAAATCAGTTAGTATCAGTTAGGCACTACCTTGTATTAGCAAATCAACTCGACATCGCGAAAACGATTTCGAGATCATACGAGAGCGTCGATTCGACAAACCAGTGGGAAACTAGGAATCTAACGAGGTCATATCGTATAGTGCTTCTGTGTTCCTTCCCAGAATACGCCACACCCTTCGACTTCACGAATCACGAGACACACGATTCACGCTCGACGCTCGCAAGGACGACGGCGTCGTTTCTTCCTCAAGCGACTCGCACAACTTTTTTCTATTCCACGAGCTCGTGAATCATGCCGCTGTGTTCCATGTTTTCACACGTATCGTTGTAGCGAAAGGTGTTAAAATACCTGTTGCCTCAGTCTAGCTACTTGGACGATGAAGTGAAAAAATTCTCCTTCTTTTTCTTAACCGGACACTTTACCGTGGAATTTATTACAATATAGTATAATGCAGCGACAAAAGAGATTATCCTTGCGAAATGTTATTCTAGTAATTTTTTTTGTAGTTTTTAGTTGCTCGAATTTTTTGCACATTCAGCTAATAAAATGTATTCTGAGCTTGTTTAAATATATTTCGAGGTAAGTGAATTTTAATTTCACCTGCTTGGAATATTTTTTCTTCCAGTTTCAAGATTAAAGTCTTGCATAAATCCTTTCTAATTTTATACAGTTTCAAAAATACTGATTCGTCGATTTTTTGGGTAATACTAAGATTCGTAACATTTCTCGTATTAATATTTTCCTATGATACTTCTTAGCGCTTATTTATCGATACTTTTTTTAACACTTTGTATCCGAGTAATGTTTCAACATTTCCTTCCACCGATTCGATAATTATGCAATAATTATAATTTTCCATGAATAATTTAGTATTACTAATTTTGTGAGAAAGTGAAACGTTAGATTTGCGAAATTTGTGAAATTTTATAAAATACAAGTAAATTCTTTTTTCGTTTAGAGTTTCCGGAACGAATGCTCGTTCGTATGTCTTCCTTTCTTCCTTTCTACGTTTTACTTAATCAAACTCCTAATCGAAACCGGAAGTCTTGAGTCTATCGAGGATCCACCGCGATGGAGCGAAATAGTCGCGAGGATTTACCATGAAACACGACTGTTCTCACCTCGGAAGAACGAAAAGAAAATACGGTAAATGGTTCAATGTCGATCGATGGAAGGCTCAATTGATTCAAGTATAATGTAACCGTAACGTAAGCGTGTGAACGTAAGAACTCGTCTGCTCCCACTTCATTACAGATGCACCTGAGGAAAATTCACCGGCATAATTAACGGTGAAAAGTAATGTTCGATATAAGTCTGTCTCAATCGTTTAACACCGGGGAAAAGAAAATAACGAGGGCGATATTCAATTAAAGTTTTCGCCGGAACGAACAGAGTTTGCCGTTAATTAATATTTAGTAGGAAAGGTCCAGGTGTTTCGTGAAAATTTTCACTTCATTTGGTGCTTTTTTCGAAAAGAATTATGAAGACTGTCGCGTTGAAAAATTGGAAAATGTCGGGTAACTTGGAAAGAATTGGCGAATTATCTAGATAATTCTCGAATTCGTGTGGAAAATCTTGGAAAAATTGAAACACTTCTATTTATTTGGTCGGTATATTTTTAATTAATGGTAAGTATTTTTTAAAATAAATAGTCGATAAAAGTGAATATTTTGGTGAGTATAAATAATGACTAATTAAATCGCATTTTGTCGGTACAATGTTTTTTTGGTCAATGAAATTAAAATTTTTAGTTAGCTTGGGATATTTTATTACACACACTGAGCATCTATTTAAAGTACTGACAAATTATTACGTTTACGAATCAAGGTAATACTGACCACTTATATTACGTACTGACGTTTTACTTTAAATACTGACCATTTATTTAAAACGCTGATTAAACATTTTTTAAAATACTGACCCAATGCATAGCAGCCAAATTAAAATATTAAAAAAGAAAGAAGAAAACTTGATGGAATTGCTAGAAACCTTCTTCATTGTAATTACTATAAGTTCAGAAGTTAATAATTAAGTATCACACGCCGCATTTTCAAAAATTAATAATTATCACATTTTCGAAAATTCAAGGAATAACTCGATTTGAGGCCAAACGAGGCCTCAAAAATTTCTCCGGCAACCCAATTACAAAATTAGGTAAATCCGAAAATTCGGATAGCCTTCGTCCATCTACCAAATCCATCGTTTTAACTCCACTCCCGTTAGAAGTTCGATTCTTATCGGCGATCAAAGAGAACGAGTCTGTTGGCATTAATAGTCGCTCGTTTCCTCGCTGTTTGTTCATCACCGACGTAAATCGTCGTCTGTCTATTAATAAGCTTCCTTGGTCCTGTGTTCTTGACCGCGCGATTGCGCTCACAGCTAGATTCCACGTTCCCTGACCGAGGGAAAGTGGCGGAAGGCAAGGTTGCGTGTGCACAGAGATGAGATCCAAAGATATAGAACGACACGACGTGCATGGAACCGAGAGATAGAGGTAGCAGTTGAAAGGGTGAGTGATCTCGAGGGGAGAATACGGTTGGAGAGGATGATCGGTACAGCGTGAAGGTATAGAGAGCGACAAGGAAATAGGTGGCCGAACTTTCGTATTCTGCTATTCCTAAGGACGAAAGAAATCACGAAAATTCACTGGAACAGCTGTCAGACGTAGAATTTCACGCACTGTCGTCGTTTGGAGCAAGTTATGTTGACATTGAAGACAGCGCGTTTAGTTTACGATAATAGCAGAATTTTTATACACCAGGAATTTTTCAACGTCTTCGACAATCCTTGAAACGTCGATGCGGAGCATGTATTGCTGCAGAAGGAAATCATTTTCAGTAATTTCTTTAACACGTTCCGTGCCGCGTGGGTCGCATACGCCCCACTATGGTCTTTCCGTTCAGGCCATCTGATATTTCGGCCTTTTCCTTCCGCTAACTTAAACTATGCAACTACGGCGATAATTTGTTAAAACAAAAATTTTTCCTTCGCTCTATAGCATATCTTAAACGTTACCTTTTTCTCGATAACAATGATTTTTGCAATCTTATAAATATTGGAAGACATATAGGGCGAAAAGCAAAACTGTTAGTCTCGACAATGTGGGACGCATGCGACCCACGCGGCGTGAACGGAAAGTCACCGAAAATCGGTCTGGCATGGAACGTGTTAAGCAAGTTTTAAAGAAAAGTGTCTATATCTCGGAAAGGAAGAGCTTTCGGACGTATGCTTATGTGACCTTTTTTACGGTACCTAAGTTTAGCCACCTATTCGCTTGTCACCCTGTACACGTCGAATTAGGACGAATGTAGACTTTTCCTAAAATTAGAATAGTGAAATGATTGCTGTTTAGAGATAGTTCATTCGTGAAATGATTTTCTTGTTTTTTTACGGCGTTTACTGAAGTCTCTTTTTGTGATTGTGATTTAGCGTTGGTGTAATTCGTGAAATTACTTTCTGTTCATCGAAGTGACTTTTTTTTATGCGATAGGTTGATTTTCAGTCAAAATTATACATAGTTGCTTCGTGGAATTGTTTTCTGTTTTCGTTTTGGTGATTGGATGATTTCTGTTGCAAGGTTTCACGACGATTTAGCTGCTTCGTGAAATTACTTTTCCGGTGCTCGTGGATTTCTTCTTTCTGTGATTGGACGATTCTCGTAAGGTCCTCTCGTGGTTTAGCGTTGCTTTAGAATAGTCAATGATTTACACGCAGAATTTGCTGGAAATGGGACCCGATTGCGATACGGAGCTTCAGTGCGTGCGTACGTCACCAATGAGTGACGATCGGCCGCTTCTCAATTGTTGCACGCTGGTGTCGCGGTGTAAATAGTTCTCGTATGAAACTTTACATATTACAGAGGAAGTCTGTCAATGGGTTTCTTTTCTGCGATCCCACCTCTCACGGTTAAATCCGTGGTTGAGTTGCAACAGAATTTTTGGTGGCCACGTTCGATTTATCTACACCGATCTACATAGATCTTCACTTATAGCAGATCTGCAGTTGTTCGCACTTCGCTACAGTTCGATTCTATTAGCTCGTAACAGAAGGTGAACTTTCACCGGAGTCGAAGGACCAAGAAACGATGAAACGTTGATGGGAAGGGAAGAAGATGATAATTAACATATATTCGCATGCTCTTTAGCCGTGACGCGGTCAGGCGAGGAGTCTGTCGGTTTCGAGAGCCGTGGTATTAGCATGATAAAAGCAGAAACGGTAGGAGAACAGTTCGTAAGCAACGAGGCGGATGCGTTTCCACGCGTGCTTGGCCTGTTATACACGTTGTGTTGCGTTGCCTTGTGTTCCACCGTATCGAGATCCTATAGTCATGTTCCGTTGCCTGGTTCATTGCAGCGTCTGTGGCACGGGGATGCCAAGGAAGTGATCGGGCCAATTCGCGTGGTGCATCGCTACGTTAACATGGTGGAACAGACAGCTGAGTTTTATAACACCACCAGTAGAACAACCGAGAAGGTAAGTGAAATTCTTCCTATTTTTTCTTTTTTTTTAATTAATCTTTGTACTTTGTTATTGGACACTTTGAAAATACGGAAGAATTTGGAACCACTGTGTATCGTAAGTTGCACCAATTGGTCCAATTCACGAACAATTCAATATTGGTGCAAATAGACAAACTTTTGGCCAGTAGTGTGTACAATTATTGTGTAAAATGATAGAGAGAATTTGATTTTTACTCTTCAATTTTCGTACGAACTCCCATTTTCTAATCGAGAGGGTTTTAAGGGTTTTTCGGAGGAGATCTTTAGTCGAATATTTTAATTGCGCCAATTTTTATAGCAATGATTGGTAGGATATGGTAAAATATTCGAAAACAATAATTACCGTAATATGGTAAGATATAATATATAATAATTAATAATTCTCAATCCTGAAAAATTTCATTTCACTTTGGGTTTCATTTATTACGATTTCGGATCTTAATAAAAAGAAGTCGTTTCTTTTGTTCGAGTGAAAGGAACTTTATTTTATCAGTCTTATCATTTTATTGTCATTTGTAATGTTCTGTTAGGTTCACGGGTGTCTGCCAGCTATGGGATACAGTTTTGCAGCGGGAACAATCGACGGACCGGGATCATTCGCGTTCGAACAAGGCACGACTACGGTCAACCCCTTGTGGAACGCGGTTAGAAACTTGCTGGCGACTCCCACGGCTGAGGACGTGAAGTGCCACGGCGCTAAGCCCATTCTACTTGCCACTGGACGCGTAAGTACACCGAAAGAAAAATCTTCAACGATCTTTTCAGCGATATTTACTTAGATATCAATTTTTTTTTAAATAATTTACAACAGAAATTTACAAGTCCCTTGAAAATTCACGACACCCAAGAACATAGGTTAAATTTTCCAAACTCTTTTGTGGAATGTTATTTTATTCGTTTACTTATTTCTGAAAATTCTTCAGACGAATCGAATTCGGAAGAAATTGTAATTACGAAATGACACTTCAAACAGCGAAAAATTTCTGTCCGCGTTACAAAATAATTTCTCAAATAGAAAATATCGATCACTGTGGTAAATTAAGGTTCAATTTCTGAAATCTTCAACGATCTTTGTTTGGACATCGATCTCTTTAGAATTTTTGTAAAATTCACTTCTTCAGACGTTTTCGTGGAATATCATTTGACACGTTGATTTACGAAAATTCTCCAGATGATTCTGCCGTACGAGTGGCAGCCGAAAACAGTGGCCACGCAGGTTGCCATGATCGGGAACGTTGTCATCGCCGGTGTGCCAGGAGAATTCACAACAATGTCCGGAAGAAGATTGCGAGAGGCTATCAAAACGGTCATGAACGATGCGTCCGACGACGAAACCTCCGTTATAGTCGCCGGTCTCTGTAATACTTACAGCGATTACGTCACTACGCCGGAGGAATATCAAGTAAATCGTGGATCATCCTCACCGTTCGCTTCCTTCCGACGTTTTTCGAATAATCTCCCTAACGACTTTCATTAGCATCGCTGATCATATCCGTTACATTCGTACTACAATCTTTAATTATTGTGCTGGTGATTATGAAAGTGGTTTAAGTGAAAACTCCAAGACACTTCAATTTATCGTTTATCTTGCGCTGCGTCGATCTTTTCACAGAAAAGAGTTATCATTACCTAATGAAAAAATGTCCCTTAACCCTTTCGCGGCTAGCGCCGGGTATATCCGGCATCCACTAAATGCTTCACACTGTCTTGCGCCGGTTATATCCGGCATCCACTAAATGCTTCACACTGTCTTGCGCCGGTTATATCCGGCATCCACTAAATGCTTCACACTGTCTTGCGCCGGTTATATCCGCCATCCGCTAAGCGCGTCGCCTCAACAACTCAAAGTGAAGATTTATTTTGAAATACAGAACAAGGCCTCAACAACATTCCCTTTATCCGATACACCCTTAAGTCCTCTGCTGTTCCAACGAAATCCTCCAAGATTTTACACGGACACACTAGGAGCTCCAAAAACGCGGGACACTCTTAATGCGTACGGTGTGCACTAACGGCACGACGACCCGTTTGTTAGTGGTGTACCGATGGCTAGTTCCGCCGTCGCGAAAGGGTTAATACACCCAAAGGGAAAATTCTAAATGTCTTCGAAGCTGAGAAATATACGACTTAGGCCACTTTCATAGTCACAATTATGCCTCTATCATCTGAACCCTTTCAGTATCACGCAACGAAACAATTCTTTCCCTGGAGTGATGGTTTTAGTTTTTAACACTAGAACGAAGCTATTTCTACCGAAACTTATAATTTAGATGCCGGCGGTAAGCTTGTAAAAAAAGTTGTCAGTTGTTGCGGTTCTTCCCTTCGCAGTAAACGGTTCGATAAGTTTGAGTACGACAAATTCACTTAGAAGTTGTAAAGACGTGCGAGAAGTTGTACGAAACGAGAAAAGTGGTTAACTTGGGTTCGGTAAACAAATTGTAGGATCATTTTACACTTTGACTCGTACCAGTCAGTTTCACTGGTGTATAAGTAGCCATGATACAAAATTATTTCGATTCTGAATGAAACCGAAAAAAATAAAATTCACAGTACTCTTTCTTTAGTTATTGCTGTAAGAGTCGTGACACCATTTCGGGAAAAAAGTGTAGCATGAAGTAGGAATTTTAAAACGAAATAGTGAAACCAGTCGTTTTGACTGGTGTGGTAGTTCTAGTGTTAAATATATTTTTTTCTTTTGCACTTATTTATCCTCCTGCGGAAAAATTTGGAATATATATACGGACGTACTGTTGAAAGGGTTAAAGACCGTTAAAATTACTCAATTTACTTGAGGATAAATGTTAAATCTGCTTTAGAGAAAGTTTTATTTAAATTTAGGAAGAAAATGAATTTAATTTTGATTTGATAAAATTTTGTATATGGAAATGGATAAACTCAGGTTGATGATAATTAACCCTCGAGCGGTCTTCGGGTCTTTTTTGACCCACCGCCTTTTTATATTTTTAGTCATTTTTGCTGTTACCAAGTTTACGTTCCTTGACATTATTTTAAACGTTTATTGTCTAGGTTCATATGTCGCGTTGGAAACAAAAATGATTGCACATAAGGTCTTAAGTCCTTTTTCACCCAAAAGTCTCAAGTGTACAGTCAAAACGAAGAACGCAGTAGGGTTAACAATGTTCAATTGTAATAGTACTCTTTTTTACTTCGAAATTAATTACTGGAAACTAATAAAATACGTAGTGTCAAAAAATTCACTGGTTACTATAATCCATTACAATTTCTTGTTCGAACTTTTCAGATCCAAAGATACGAGGGTGCATCGACAATATTTGGTCCTCACACGCTCACGATATACTTGAAGCAATACCAAGAGCTCGTGACAGCTGTCCTTCTAGTAAGTACGCTATTGAAACACCCCACGCGATTTTCCTGAAATAAATCGTCCACGAAACAAGGAGAAACAAACCTAATATTAACAATAAATTGATCGTGACTGTAGAACAAGAATGTGGAATCTGGTCCAGCGCCTGAAGATCTAAGAAAGAAGACACTCCTTACTTTCGTGACACCCGTTCTATACGACACACCAAAATGGGGCAGGAATTTCGGTGATTGCATCAAACAACCACAGAAAGTCGCTACGTCAGGTGACGTCGTCACTGCAGCCTTCGTAAGTTTACTAAATTAATACTAAGAAAACCAAAAAAAATACCTATTTATTATACGTGTGTATGTACACTGTTTAGAAAAAAAAATTGCAACACCTGAGAAATGAAATCGCACAAATCTGAAATGTATATATATCTTGTTTGGGGCATTGACAGAGATGAATAATTAAAATTTGCTTAAAAGAGGTTTCACTTGTTTAAAAAGGGTCATTCTTTCCTCAGAGTAGCCTGAAAAACATGTGATTTCTAGATTTGTGTAACCCTAATTTTTATATAGGTGTTGCAATTCTTTTGGCGAGCTGTGTATTTTATTCAGCACTGAAGAAAGCAGTATTAAAAGTGACTGTGACCTAGTTATACTCTGTTCAAAATAAGAGTAACCTCGCTTCGCGCACGGGACGTGCCTAAGGCAGGGCTATAACCACTAGAACGTCCAAAGCCCCACTTAACCGCTTACGTTTTTCTCCGTCCTACCCTCTGCTACGCTCTCCGTCTATGCGCAGAACGGACGAGAAACGGTCCGAGAGCGAGGTTACTCTTATTTTGAACGACGTATAGATATATGTGTATCGTACATTGTGTAAATGTATGAACGTTGAGCGAAACATCGACATTATGGAATTTGGATAGAGTGTGCATGTTGTGCAACGCCATCTTGAAAATGGCAACACATTCGTTCGTGGTCCATTGAACAAAATGAAGGATATTCAGTCGTAATGTAGCGTGGCTCGCGTAAATATAGACGAATTTCATTTAGATAACTCCTGTGACCGTGTGAATTTCGATCGAAGTTTGTTTTGAACTCGTATCATTTGGTTATTGTGAAACTTAATTTCATTACTATGAAACTGATTGAAACGAAATTTTGGACAGAAATTCTATTTTATTTTTAACCCTTGTTTCGTCGGGTTTGATGACTATTGAATTTTTACTTAATTTAATTAACATGTTTTTAACGCGAGTTTTATTTTCTTTTTGTTTCATGATTTAAGATTTTTTAAGTTTCACGATTGCAGAATTTTAAATAAAATTTTTCACAGAAGACTCAATTCTTTTTTAACTATGATTTCATGAAGTTTGATAACTATAGAATTTTTATTTAACTTCATTAGAATGAAACTGATTGAAAGAAAATTTTTGACTGGAGTTCTATGATTCTTATTTAGCTATAATTTCCTGTAGTTTAATGGTTGTGTATTGCTGCGATTCATTTCATTCTGACTTTATCAAACTCATCGTGCCACTTTAATAATCTACTTAGAATATAAATTCTACATTTGTCCACTTAAACATCGATTACTTTCAAGTCTTGTAATTTACGGTTCGTTCTTTTGTCAAAAACGTGACGTTGTTTCGCGAGGAAGAAAGTATCAAAAAGAATTGTATAAACACGGTGTCACATAATTCTGATTTTATTTCTTCCAGACTGCTGCCAACCCACGCAATAACCTGATGACGGAGGACACATTCCTGACAGTTGAGAGATTGACAGAGGGTGAAGTATGGGTGCCAGTCGCTACTGATGCCAATTGGGAGACCAGGTACACATACTTATTCCATAATCCACAGTCCAAACCCTTAAATGAGCAAATAAACATTTTGAACCTATATACATCTTTTGTCATGAGAAAAGAAACCAACAAATTTTTCTAGATCAATAATCTCTCATTAAAATTTCTATTTTCTGGGTGTCAAAAGAAATATTGAATTGTTTGAAAGCACAGTGTGTAAGAAGAAATACAGGATGCTTCTAAAGAATGTTTAAACTTGCATGAGTTAGGAAAGTAAAAAAATTCTCTATTTTACTTTACAGTGAAAAAGTTATAAGAATTATTCTTTTATGTAGTGTATGATAATTCAGGCTAGGTGATAATATAAGAAATACAGAATTTTTGTGGCAATTAAGGTGAAAGTAAGGAATGAGAGAGAGAGAGAGAACAAATTTTTCTAACTTAACAATCTACCATTAAGATATATATTGTCTAAGAGAGAGAGGGAGAATGAGTGAGAGTGAAAGAGAGAGATAGAGGAAGAGAGAGAGAGCAAATTTTTCTGGCTTAACAATCTAGTATTAAAATATTTATCGTCTGAGAGAAAGAGGAGGGGGGAGAGAGAAAGAAGAAGAGAGGGAGAGAGAGAAAAAGAGAGAGAACAAATTCTTCTAGCTTAACAGTCTACCATTAAAATATATATTATCTAAGAGAGAGAGAGAGAGAGAGAGAGAGAGGGAGAGAGAGAATGAGTGAGAGTGAAAGAGAGAGATAGAGAGAGAAAGCAAATATTTCTGGCTTAACAATCTACCATGAAAATATGTAGTATCTAAGAGAGAGAGAAGTTTCCATAGAAATCAATAGCAACCCAAAAAATTGAGGCGAAAACCATCTAAACGGGAAGCTAAGAGTATCGGTCAGAGAATATCAGGCTTTGCAGACGGACAAGTAATAACGATATATCTCTCCTTATTACGTTGGCTTTACCATCGATATAGGTTCGAATGGACGAGGACATCCGTGATTCTTGGCTCGAGTCAGGTGACCATTACGTGGCAAGTCCCTGAAGATATCAAAACCGGTGAATATCGTATCAGGCACAACGGCTACTACCGCTATATACTCGGTGGCACCTACCCTTACTACGGTGTATCGAACCACTTCCAGGTAAATTGAAAACCGCGCATGAATGTTGGAAAACTCGATCCCTTTCTTCCTTTATTACTATTTTTCCTACGATCCGGCGAATGATGTTTCTTCCTTTGATTATTTCATACGAAACATTCTTCTTTTCCTTCTTTCTTTTTTTAAGGATGCTTCACATTTCTTTAACACGCTGAATGTTTTTTCTGATTTTTGATATTTAGAGAATTTTTTTCAATCTGGTGTATTAGTAAATTTTTTGATTTAGTATTTCCATGTTTAACATTTAAAGGGTTTTTCTAATTTAGTATCTTGATTTGAAGAATTTTTGGAATCGCTGTTCTTTTGAGATTTTTCTGCCAGTCACGTTACGTTTTCTATTGACCGTTTCAGGTTGTAACTAATAGGTCATGCACTCGTGGACAGCGTTACTATGAATAATCAAGTAGTGTTATTTTAGTCCTGAATGAAATGCTTACGCTTAATTCACGGCTGAATCGGGGATAATTCGGTCGGTGAAGGCCATACGATAGCACAAGAAATCTCCTACCTTCCCCTCACCTACATTTTCTTCTTGTACAGTGTTGTAATATAACGATGTAATGACATGTGATCTCTTTGAACAGTAGCTGCATTATTCAGATAGACTTATTTAAGTCTAATTTAAGTATAATTAATATATACAGCGATGTATTTTCTTAAGAGAAATCCGTAGAATAAATTAATTGTTCAACGTGATAGCAGAGAATAAAAGAGAATTTATAGAAATATCAGTGTTATTTATTTTTTTTCTTTCAATGGAAAATTTGACAGTTAACCCTTTCATTTGGGAATTTAGGAACTTTTGTCATCTTTCCTATCCAGACAATTTTTTTTATTACCTTTGATACTTTTATTATTAGAAATTTCTATAATCTGTAGCATTGCTGTTATTGGAAATTTTTACAACTTTAGCATTGCTATTACAGGAAATTTTTATTATTCTTAACATTACTATTACTGGAAATTTTTATACACTTTAGTATTGCTATTATTGGAAATTTTTATTATTCTTAACATTACTATTACTGGAAATTTTTATAAACTTCAGTATTGCTATTATTGGGAATTTTTACAACTTTAGCATTGCTATTACAGGAAATTTTTATAATTCCTAACATTACTATTATTGGAAAAAATTTATAATTCTTAATATTGCTATTATAGGAAATTTTTATAATTCCTGACATTACTATTATTGGAAAAAATTTATAATTCTTAATATTGCTATTATAGGAAATTTTTATAATTCCTGACATTACTATTATTGGAAAAAATTTATAATTCTTAATATTGCTATTATAGGAAATTTTTATAATTCCTGACATTACTATTATTGGAAAAAATTTATAATTCTTAATATTGCTATTATAGGAAATTTTTATAATTCCTGACATTACTATTATTGGAAAAAATTTATAATTCTTAATATTGCTATTATAGGAAATTTTTATAATTCCTGACATTACTATTATTGGAAAAAATTTATAATTCTTAATATTGCTATTATAGGAAATTTTTATAATTCCTGACATTACTATTATTGGAAAAAATTTATAATTCTTAATATTGCTATTATAGGAAATTTTTATAATTCCTGACATTACTATTATTGGAAAAAATTTATAATTCTTAATATTGCTATTATAGGAAATTTTTATAATTCCTGACATTACTATTATTGGAAAAAATTTATAATTCTTAATATTGCTATTATAGGAAATTTTTATAATTCCTGACATTACTATTATTGGAAAAAATTTATAATTCTTAATATTGCTATTATAGGAAATTTTTATAATTCCTGACATTACTATTATTGGAAAAAATTTATAATTCTTAATATTGCTATTATAGGAAATTTTTATAATTCCTGACATTACTATTATTGGAAAAAATTTATAATTCTTAATATTGCTATTATAGGAAATTTTTATAATTCCTGACATTACTATTATTGGAAAAAATTTATAATTCTTAATATTGCTATTATAGGAAATTTTTATAATTCCTGACATTACTATTATTGGAAAAAATTTATAATTCTTAATATTGCTATTATAGGAAATTTTTATTATTCTTAACATTGCTATTACAGGAAATTTTTATAATTCCCAACATTACTATTATTGGAAAAAATTTATAATTCTTAATATTGCTATTATAGGAAATTTTTATTATTCTTAACATTGCTATTACAGGAAATTTTTATAATTCCCAACATTACTATTATTGGAAAAAATTTATAATTCTTAATATTGCTATTATAGGAAATTTTTATTATCCTTAACATTACTATTATTAGAAACTTTTATAATTTTTAACATTGCTACTATTGAAAAGCAACTAATAACAGACGCACAATGAAAATATGTACTAATAGATCATACGTTAGTCCCGAGGAAAATTCATTTTATTGGAAATTTTCGCTACGCAACGAACAGAATGAAAGGTAATTAAAAATAATCAGTGAGGAAAAAGCATATGAAATGCTAGGCGTCGATCATGAATATCTGTAAGTGGAATCAAAGTGGATTTACGTAACTGCCTGCAATGAGTTTCAAAGATCAGGATCCGTCGTAGCACGAACAAAAGCAAGAATAACACGTTCTTCGAAACGAAATAGTAATAGGATAGAATCGAACGGAAGGAAATGAAGTTTCTCCCAGAAGAATTAATTAAATTCAAAAGTTTGCATTTTATTCCAACAAAGGCAATTCCAGGAAACGTTCATGTTGATCCCATCTTAGTAAAACTGTCTCGATATCTTTTATTCCACGTGGAAACCGAAGCACCGATCGATGTTAAATAAATTGATTCGATACGAAGAATGTAAGCAATTTCTTTGGAAAAAATTTCCATCGACCTTTCTCTTCAATCACATTTTAGTACGAATTAAAACGTTAATTTGTATCTCCAGAAATACTATCGAATTGTAATTTCATATCAGGGTCGGTATTAAGAATTTTTCTGATTACTATATTTTAGTTCTGAGGTGGGTGAGGAACGTCGTTACACTGTTTTCACCTCAATTTATTAAAGTGCAAGTGTATGGTCGGCGTACAATTGGTCCAGAAAATACAATCGTTTACTTTGTTAATTGTCCCGGCGGCAGCGGTTCGGCGGGTACGTCGCGATGGTCGGTAAAAGAACAAACTGTCTCGAAGTGTAGGCGTAAAGGAACAAACTGTCCGGAGGTGTAGGCGTACTGGGTTTTTATATTGTTAGGACAGGGAGACAGGAGTAGCGATAGATAAAGGTAGAAGTGGAGAAAGTGTTGGAAACGGAAAATTCGTTCGTCCTCGTGCGAACCTGGATGACACTGTGCGCTTCTTAGGCCACTCGAGGACGAAGGCAAGTCTTAACCCGGGGAGAGATAAAAGAACGGAAACTAAAATCTGAAGGAGTTGGAAAAGAGAAGGTTCGCTTGGAAGAATAGAACGAGGTTCGGTAAGGGTTTGTTGACGACGACGTAACCGCCACAGTTCAATTTAAAGATTATTTACTTTCATAATTAAGAAATGTTTCTGAAAAACATAGATATATATATGTACATAATAATGTATACGTTTTGGAACGCCCAGTATGAACTTTATTTAAGGAAAAGGCACAAATACAGAACCTCAAAACCACGAAAAAATTTATCTCATTGATTCTTCAATTAAATCTCTTTCAAGCAGACCAACTTTGCTAAAAAAAACATTTTGTTTAATGTACCGTACACTAAATGCATGCTGCACAATTTAATCATTGGAAAATTTCTTAGAACGACAAATGAAACAAGCTGAAAAGGTCCAAAATCCGGATATTAAGGAGTGATAAGCAGTCAAGGCCAGGAAAAACCCGTTCGTTGCTTCGTTAACTGGTCTCGCCACATGAAACAAGGTTATAAACGGCGACATGAAAGCGCATTTATGGAATGCGGTGAACAATCCATAACGTCGAACCGTGTAAAATCCTGGAACAAGTTTCACGAGAAGAACCAATTAAGCATTCATCCGAGTTCGATCGAGGATGAAAAAATTTCACGGCAAGAAACGAGCCTCAATTATTGAGAGCAATTCGAATATGGCTGCACTCATTACCGCCCCTAATTGGACACCGTTGGTTGTACAAGTGAAGTCCGACGATATTTGCAATTATGGAATGTTAATTGTGAACACGAGAAGCATGATCGGAAGGAATGTCCTGGTTGCAGTATAATTCAATCGTGACTGACAATAAGTAGCAGGTTGACATTGAAACGAGGAATTTTGGGAAAAAGGAACTTTTGGGGGATATTGAGAAAAATTGATTTTCGGGGAATATTGGAAAACACGGATTTTTGGGGGAATATTGGGGAATTTCAGGTTTAATTGGAATAAAGTCCTGTTTGGAAATTGGAATAGAAATTTCATTTCCATTGAAGGATTTTTGAAGAATACTGGGTAAAACTGATTTTTAGGGAATTTTTGGTCCCATTGAAATTGAGTTTTGTTTGGAGTTTGAAGTGTTGCTAAAAATTTGATTTCCTTTGAAACCGGTATATTTAATTTAATTTTCTACAGGACACTGTGTTTCTGAAATTCAATTTGAGACTCGAATTTTTAAAGGGATCTTTTTTCTTCTAATTCGAATTGTTAGGGGTATTTAATTTCTTTTAGTACTTGAAGTTTCAGAGGATTTAATTTCTCAGAAGCAGTCGTAAATCAAGGGTAGAAAGTAACAAAGAAGCGACCAGCGAGCCTCGTATCGACGAATTCTCAGTCCACTAAACCAGCCACCGAGCGAAATGAAGCCAAAAGAAACCTGGAGAAGCTGCATCGTCATCGAGGAGTTAGATGACTTGAAGCGAACTCGACAGTTACGAACAGGAGTTCCACGGAGACTCCTCTTTTTCTGCAACAAGATAACGGCACTAAAAACAATAGGGAGGGGATGAGGAGGGTTGTTTCGCGAGCGAAATGAAGCGGAGACTAGATGGTGGAAAGGGGTTGCATCGGTCGCGAATGCCTTTTACGGGTTCAGGTCCACTGTGGGACCGACTGCTTCTAGACGATGAACCGCGAAACCACGTAGAGAAATCACAACGGAACACGAGTGGAAAAACTGTGGAAACGTTTTCGGAGGAACATTCCCGAGGGAAAATTGAAAAAGTAGCAGATGTGCAGTCCTTTTATGACATGCATTTGCGAGTGTTTGTGTGGGAGAAACAGTTTGGAGGAAATTTTGCAAAAGCTTGTTTAGTAGAAATTTGATTGGAAAGTTTAGGAAAAGTTGGTGCACCAATTTGGTACTAGAATATTGTAAAACTTGCCACAGCATAATAGTAATTAAATCAGAAAATCAATTGAAACCCACGTACTCAAAAGAATGTGAAAAGACCTCGACTAATTGTAAGGGATAGGTAATATGTACCCTAAATTCACTTAAATTGAAATCACAATTTGTTCTTTCAATAAAATTTCTGATCTATGAATAAAAGTTGTATGGTCTTTTATTTTTCGATTTATACACGTTTAATGACGGTAATCATCGTCTGGATGAGGTCTAGTAACTGTCGACTGGTAGATTGATTAAACTCTTATGCAAACAACAACGACGACACGAGCGTTATTAATAATTTATCGGTGGTGTTGCAAGGCGGCGATCGAACAGTATCTGCACGGAAGCGCAGTTGTCTCGATAATTACTGTTAATCGTGCTTAGATAACATTGGCCTAGAAGCTCAGCCTACAACGGCGACGTGAATTATTTTCATTGTTATTAAATCGTTATCATAGCGAATCGCGACTACGTGGTCATGCGAAGGTAGCCATTTTTTATCTTCCTTCACGCCTCTGTCTGCCATTACTGATCGTCAAGGTTAGGTTGATTAGTTCAAATGAAATAACTGTAGAACGTGTGTTGCTTGTGTTCCAATTTTGTTGCAGTGTATTGGAAGGTTTGACAAAAATTGGTTTTTAAATGTTTCGTTGAATTTAGTCATTTATTGCGGTGGAATTGCAGCCGGTAAGAAAGGAAGCATGGTATCTTCGTGAGTTGGCGAACCTGCTAGAGAGAGGGAGGATTAAATTCAGGAAATTCTAGGGATTCCCAGGAAAATTTCTAGGGAACTCTAGTGATTCCCAGGACAATTTCTAGGAAATTGTTATGATTCCCAGGAAAATTTCTACGAAACTGTAGTGACTCCCAGGGAACTCTAAGAAATTACAGCGATTCTCAGGGAAAATATAATTGTAATCGAATTCCCCAGAAAATATCCCAAATTCGCTAGAATTGTTTAGAAATTTTTCTGAGAGTCACTAGAATTCCCCAAATTTAATCCTGAAAGAGGAAAGCGAGGCTGATGATCCGTCTTCCCTTTCCTCCCTCTCTCTCTTTTTGTCTTTCAGTTTCGAGGATTCCTCAACGTAACATCGAGGACGAATGGTTCTCACTAGGACCTGGCGTCCGAATTTTCCTACCCGGTAGAACATGGCACGTGAAGCCTCAGACAGTTAGAGCAGAGAAACCCAGACTGTCATCCGGTTGGTTACTCACCACGACTTTTCTAACTCGCTGAACTTCTACGTTCACGCTTTTTTTCTCTTCCCGCTTTCCTTCACTGTACACCTCCGCATCTTGCCTAGTGTTTTAATTAAGCCGATCCTTCTTCGATAGAACGTTTGCCACTGTTCACCTTCCTATCCTCCTCCTTCCGTTTATTCGTCCTCCCGTTTACTTCCTCCTTTCCTGTCAGACAGGAAGTCTAGTGTGCTGTGACGAAGCGACGGAATGAAGAATATCTGTCCTTTTCCATAAAATTGCACGGTTTTTCTGAAACAATAGTATCACATTGAATATTCTTCAATATTCTCGGAACGCTGATCGATGTGACGATTTTTTGCCCCCAGACTTATTTCAATTTCAAAGAGGACTTATTCAGCCTCTATGCCACTGGTCTTTTGTGAATTTTTTTCGAATTCTAATTACCATCGAAGTGATTGATTTATTTTGCAATGCGCGTAAAAACATGTTTGTTATTCCTCGACTGATTGGTAGCAAGAAAATTGTCTTTTTCCAATACAATGACTATAATATCCTTGGGAGCTAAATTGATAAATGAATAGGATTGTTTTGCATAATCCAGGATACAGTGATTTAACGTCGAACGAGATAATTGTAATTTTAGCTCGGAATTACTTAGTGAAATGGTCGTTTCGTGCAGGCAGTTTGACGATTTCGCGAATCGTTACACTCCCGAGTAGATTACTACGAAAATAGAGAGGTGATACAAGCTTCATTTCTCCGATTAGTATGCTCGATTTAGGCGTCGAACGAGAGATATCGATCGAGGTTAGATTCAGTCTGAACGTGAAATTTTACCGTCCACCCAATTTCTTGCTACCTACTTTATCAAAAATAACTACAATTCTAACTCGTTAACATTTTTTTCCTCGTTCAGAAGTAAAATAATTTTAACTGTTTTTTTTTTTTAACTATGGTTATAACGTAGACAATTTTGTCCCAAATCCCCCCATCCCAAAAAAAACATAATAGAAAAAGAAAATTCACTCGTCTTAAAAAAAAAAATCAATTCTCTCCAAAAAACGAAAATTTATCTAGAACACTAACACCTGTTTCCTGTTCTAAAAAAAAAAATTCACACAAGCTCATTCGTTCACCCTAAACTCGACGAAAGCGATAAATTTCGACGTCGTTGAACCGTCGATTTGCCCCACGAATGTTTGTCTCTGGATCTTTAAAAAAAGAGAAACAGGAGGGAGGAAAGAAAAAGCGCTTCTTCTTCCAGACGAAGAAAAATTGCGGTCCATTTGGTGGAATAATCGGGCAAAGGAAGCGAAGATGGACAAACTGAAGGAGAAAAGAAGCGAAAGAAGCCACGAGGACGCTTTCGCTGATTGGAGGTGCGCAGAAGCGCCGGTGCTCGGCGTCGTTCGTTCCGACGAGGGCTGACACAGTCGTGATTCGCGCGGCGTCCGTGTCGGTTCGTCGTTTCTCGCGGATTATTCGAAGTTCCTCGATCGTTCCTACACGATTTTCCTACTCTCCAACAATTTACCTACGTGTCGATCGTAAATTTGGCAAATTTCGTATGATCAAGTTTGAACGAAGCTTGTCGAAGTTGTAGGATTGAAGATTCGGAGGGTGAAGCTGATTTATTCGAGCCGGAGGAAGTCGAAGAATGTTGGAAATGTAAAATTGACAGTGAAACTTGGCTTGGCTTGAACGCAAGAGGAATTCAAAAAATTGGAGAAATTTTGTTTGATACTTCTTGTGTAACTGACAGTGGAATTAATTAAATATTACAAAAGGAAGAATTTTCAATTTGACAAAATTAAAGAAGTTCGATGCAACAATTAGAAACATGAAGATTTTGAACTAGAAGTGTAAAACATTCATTTTACAAAGTAATCAGCGACCTAACCCTTGAATGTGTCAAATGCAACCCCAAAAGTCGACAAAATTATTTTCTTCCTCACAAACTTCCCCACTTTAGAAGAAAAACCCCTGCAGTCTATAGTAAATTCACAAATAGAAGATTATCTAAAATAAACCAACAATTACTGACTAGAAAAATGCATTAATTGCACCAAACAACCTTCCCAAACCTCTTCAAACCTTTCACCTGCCACAAACCTCTCGAAACAAAATGTATGAAACACCTCACAGAACTGAACTACCCTAATCGTCACCTAATCCTCACAATCTTCCAAAGAATGCCCAGCAAACTGTCAAAAGCACACATGGAATGACCTGTGCACCATGGATCATCCAGCGACCAATCTCTCCTCAAGTCTCTCAAACACCACATCCTCCACTCTGCAAGACTATCCGCAAGACTTCACGAGCCTGTACAACGACACTCGGAAAACGGATGCCTTCGAGGGAACGTTCACGATCACCTGTGCTCACAGAGACTCCCTATACATCGTGGTACCAGTGACCATAATCTACGTGTCGATTTTCGTGACAGGAACCATAGGTAACATCAGCACGTGCATCGTGATCGCGCGCAACAAGTCGATGCACACAGCGACCAACTATTATCTGTTCAGTCTGGCGGTGTCAGACCTGTTGCTGCTGGTCTCTGGTCTACCAGCGGAGATCTATATGGTCTGGTGCCAGTATCCGTACATCTTCGGCGAAGGATTCTGCGTTCTACGCGGCCTGGCAGCAGAGACATCGACTAACGCGACGGTTTTAACCATAACAGCGTTCACCGTCGAGAGATACGTGGCTATTTGTCATCCTTTTCTCTCGCAAACCATGTCCAAACTGTCCAGAGCGGTGAAATTGATCCTGGTTGTGTGGTTCGTGGCCCTCTCGTTCGCGTTACCGCAAGCTCTCCAATTTGGAGTTGTTCAACATCATCAGAATCATCATATAGTGATGTGTACCGTTAAGAACCCGCTGCAACATTCGTTCGAGATGTCCACGCTTTTGTTCTTTATCGTTCCTATGAGCCTGATCACCGTGTTGTATATATTGATCGGGTTAAAGTTGAGGAAGTCGAGTATGATGAAGAGCAGCCGTGGAAGGAGGCCTGGAGGGAGCTGTAGACACCATCCTGGAAGGTCGTCGAGGAGGGTGTTGAAGATGCTTGGTGAGTAGATTCAGTTGTAGTATCATTCCTCATCATCTGATGTTGAGAAAGATGTTAAAGTTAAAAGAAGAAGCTTTTGATTGTTATTGTATGAGGTATTGGTAGTTGAAGATGGTTGGGTAACTTGGTTTTTTTGCTTTTCGTGGCGATTGATTTGAGTGATGTATCAAATGTTTCATTTAGCGTTTGGAATGTTATTAGTTGAATATTGTTGGATGATTTTACTATTTTCTTGTTTCCTTTGGTTTATTTATATTTTTTTTTTATTGTGGTAGACCGTCTTACGTCTTCAATATTAGGTTACCTATCTAGGTTTCATTGAATTTGAGACACTGATGTTCCAAGTCAATTTCGTCAGAAAAATTGTTATTCGAGACTATTTTAGATTTTCTTCTCCTTCGTGAACTGACGGAAAATCGATAGCAAAAACTCGATCTAGAAATCCTTTCCTTTGACCATGGAACGCTCGAGGGATGTTTCCGAGTCTATTGGCTATCAAATGTCAGCCAGTGAGTTGTTTAAAAAAGGTAAAGATACTGAGGGGTGGAAAACGAGCCAAAGTTCGATCCTTTTCCCAAGGATGCGATCGTGCAACGGGAGAAATACAGGAAAATGCCTTCTTGGTTAAGGGTTATAAGGGTTGGCATACAATACCACTTAGGTTTCGAACGATTCCTTTTATAAGATAAAATTCCTTAACCTACGAAAGGAATAAACAAGAAAACAACGATTCTTTGCTTGATAGATATATTATTAAATAATTAAAGAATGTATTATTCAATTAACTTTTCGTTTCAATTTTATCTGAATTAGCGGAATTATTCAAATTTACGAAGCATCAATTTTGAATTGCTCAAACTTGTGAGGCATTAAATTTGGATACGTTAGAATTTTCGATCGCTTTTCGAGGCTTAATGAGGCGTTACACTTTGAGTGCTCAAATTTGTGAAGCAGTAAACTTTGAGTCCCTTTAATTTGTGAGACATTAAAAACTGAGTTGCTGAAATTTGTGAGACATTAAATTTTGAGTTGCTCAAATTTGTGAGGCGTTAAATTTTGAGTTGCTCAAATTTATGAACCGTTGAATCTCGAGTTAACTAAGCTTTTAAGGCGTTAAATTTATACCACTAAAGTTCATAAAACATTAAACTTTGAGTGGTGAAAATTTGTGAGGCGATGAATTTTGAGTCGCCAAAATTTCTACAACTATGAAGTCAAGTAACGTTGAATATTCTCAAATCACTAAAATGTGAAATTACATCCTAACCAAAACATTCATATTCTAAACAAAAGGAGAATAAAAAGTATTAATAACTTTTATTACGTATTCATAAAATTTCGCCTGGCAACTGAAAAATGAAGCTTGTTCCTGCTACTTTCGTGAAATCTCACCGGAAGAAAAGAATTTTGCAAATTACACGAATCTCAACGAGGCTCTGTTCGTTATTCATTCAGTATGAGCATCGAAAGCATCTTTCAGGAACCGTGGAGGAATATTAAATTTCTAAATACGCTGTTACTACTGTCAACCTTGGTAATTCATAAATTTCTTTGTTTTGTTACAAATTATTAGCAATTCTAAAAACTATCCATTTGCAATGGAAATCCTTCAGACCAACATTCAAAAATATTCTAACTTTCGAATAGTATTTCAATTAAAATTCCATTGACTTATTCCCCTTTTCTCACATCCTTATAATTACCATTTCTTAAACTTACCAACAGTGCAATAAATATTTTAAAAAATCAATTAAAAATTTGCTAACTAAACGAATAAATAGAAACGATCACTCTCATATACACGTCAGTAAACCAATAAAAACTCTAATTAATAAAAAGGAATCGTTCAACCGTAAGATACAACGGAACCATTTACTCGATCATTGAAGCGATCGTTATGCGACAAAAAAAGCGAAAGATCCTCGTGTCACGTGTCATTTCTTTGAATAAATAACTTAGGATCATTCATCTCGTTCGACAGATCGACTTTGAACGGCCATTTCCTTCGATGGATACAAAATGGCCGTCGATCGAGTTGAAATTACAGAAACGATTTCCCAATTTAAAAATTTCCCTCGTCTTTCTTACAGACAAAACGTTACTCTCGATCGTTAAATTGGGCTGAAAATGAAAATCGACGAAGTACGAGTAAAGTAAAATCGTTGCATAACGAGTTTCGCAATCGTACAAGTCAGCCATAGGTGAGATTTGCGTCAATCAGTCGATACAATGTCGATCGAGGCGAGAATTCGATACGTTTGCAACTGTGTAAAGCAGTATGCATATTTCTGCATTTTTGTCGTAGATGCATATGTAGTACAACCGCAAGAAGATTGAGAACTTTGTTATTCTCACGGTGTGTAGTAAGGTGGATTAAAATAGACGACACGTGAAAATGCTTCTGATAAAAATATCGCTCGATGCTATTTTCTCCGAAACTTTCTTGTCAAAATTGTCTCATATTTATCGTCAATACTTTTTGTAAATATTTTCTTAGCTGAAAGCTTGAAACAGTGGCTCGTTATTCTTCTGCTGCGTTAATCGCCGGTTTTTAACGATACCGATTACCGTTAACGATCGTTGTCGCTATAAATTGCATAATCGACTCGTAAAAATTACAACAAACGCACAGTATGTCTCATTCTATGTATATACAATGTCGTATTCTTTTGGTGTTGTATCGATGAAACGAACTCGATTTTCTTGTGTAACTCTACTTACCGTTGCACCCCCTCATTATGTAGGATTTCCTCAACTTATTATGTCCTGTAACGTTGATGGTCTCATCGGTAAAGCTTGCACAGCAAACTTAGTCTCCCGTTGATGAAGGAATTTGGCTAATGCAGGAGTTTCCGTGCAATTTTCATTCATACAAACAACTTTGGATAAATTTCACTTCAACTGAAACACTAAGCTTGGAAACGTTTAGCTGAAATTGGAGGGAGACAAATGCAGTTTTAATTGAAACTTGAAATGAATTTCGGAAGAGTTTAGTTTAATTCGCAGAGGAAATTTGGGGGAATTTAGGTTGAATTTGAATTTGTGAAAAAGGAAAATTCACGAAATTTCTAGAAAAACAGATCGAGCAAATTAAAAAATTTAGGAAATATGGATAACTTGGTGAAATTCCAGAATTATGAATGACAATTTTTGACAGAATTTCTCAAAATTTGTGGAAATTTGATTTGCACTATATTAACAGGTTACAAATAGATCAGAAACGAGGCAGATTGGTCGAACGTAGTTCGAAGAGAAAGTGCTCGAAATATGAAGTCTGAAATGATTTGAGCCAATCGAAAATTTACGTTGCTCAAATTTACTTTAAATCTTCCAATTTTTGAAAATATTCTGTCTATAGAGAAAATGCTGAAATTGATATTATAATATGGTTGAGTGGTGTATAGATACGACGGTAGATTTTTATGTAAAATAAGGTATAATGCTTTCCCAGAAAAGGAACGTATGCAGAAAATTGAGTCAACTTTTGCTTTACTTACGTATTAACGCGTGCAATATTTTTAGTATTGACTTACAATTGAATTACTGTTACAGAACATCGTTATAATTAACTTCTTATTTCACTCATCAACCTAACCTATCACAAATCAGATCCCTAAATCTTTAAAAATATTTCACTCGTACAAATCTCCACGATTAAAGCTAAGTTTTCTCAAAATTATTCCAATTACTAGAATTAACAAACAGCAAATTTTCCTATTGTTCCATTAAGCAGTTAATTAATTAATTTCTTAGTACTTTCAAACTAACAAATTATCAAACTAACGACAAATCTTCTTACTGTCCAATTAATAAATTTAACACGCTATAGGTACTTACATACCTAAATACTTCTTTCTTCAAAACTCACGTTACAGAATGAAAATCTCAGTTGTAAAAAAAAAAATACTCAGACCAACCTCGCAAAACTTTGTTAATAAAAAATTATTCTAAATTGAAGTAGATCTCTTTAAAGTAGGCCTCTTTAGGATAGTCTCCTTCAGCAGGTACACATCATTAACAACGCTATTGACACTTGTGAAAACAATCGTTGCAGGCACTTTTGTAAATTGCTTCTAGATCATCCGTCGAATTTTCCTTTGGAACCGTTTGAAAAGTGCGTCCTTTCGAAGAGCTCTTCAGTGTCAAATGCGAAAAGATAAATCACGCGAAGCCAAGTGAAAAGGTGATTGCTTTTCAGTAAAAATTCACACTGCACTCCATACGAGCTTCGTTCGAAAAATCACGGAGATAAAGAAAATGGAGTTACAAAAGCCGCTGCAAATCTCGAATAACAAAAGCCAGTGACCAGATCGTATTATACCATCGGCTTTTCCTCTTTATTTTTCCACATATTGAGTTACACTCACAGTTTGACTCGCATATTTCAAAATTGTTGAATTAAAAGTTGATGTGAGACACAACTTTAATAAACGAGACACAGTTGTAAGGAATACGAGATTTCGGCGGCGAAGTGGTGGCCTGGACTTTGTCACCCAGGAAGAAAAAGCGCGCGGGTACCTGAGGGTGCCATAAACTAGGCCCTTTCCCCGGAAAGTCGATTTAACGTCCATCCTAGCGAAGGCCGGTAGAATCACTTAATTAGAGTTTTTTGCCGGTTGTGCCTTTCGCGCTCAATAGCTTAAGAACATGCCATAAACCACGGGTTTCCGAAGGGTACAATTGTCTGTAACGGTCCGCTGGCCGATGAGTCACCCGGAGGAATTTCCCGAATTATTATAAACATTTGACTCCCCCTTGGGATCTTCTCCCACTCCACCAGGGTAAAGCGCGCTAAGGGCGCACTGGAAGGAGTTGGCGAGAAAATTAGGCACGTTGATTGGCGATGAATATTAGAAAATATTCACCAATCAGCGTATTCTTCAAGAACCACCGCTCTCGAGGGCGAAGACGAGCTCTCGGGAAAGTAGAATCGTTACAACCATCAGAGCAACAACATCGAGCACTCAAATTAGTCACTTAGTTTTACACACAATAAAAGC